CAACAATTACTATCATTTTCATCGTGTACAGGTACCTTCGGATCACTCGAAAGTTATGAAGAAGTTTACCAATCATGCMTGCTATATATATCCTTCCAGTTGCAATTATGAAAGTCAATATTTAGATGAAGTAAAAACTAGTTTTAAGATAAGAATGAAAAATGTTAATCAAAATGTATAATTTACAAATGGCATTAATTAAAAGAAGAATTACGTTGGAACAGCTTGAGTAACTGTCTTTTTATGATTCCCAATCAATTGTGAATTGAGGTTTTAATTGCYTTTTGTTTGTTTGTTTAAACGCGGTTAGTATATTACTAGTTTTGAACCCTGGATTTCAAAAACCCTAGCCTCAATAGGTATAGTATCTCGAATGACACCTCAAGATGCTCTGGCACTTTTTTCTTGCATAAAGAACTTCTCACAATATTCCCGCGACATATTGAAAGGTGGACCCCCCCTTTTTAAATTAAAACTATCGACAATCAATCGATTCCGCAAGTAAATTGTTTTGCCTAAACTTTAGCGACAATAATATTCCCGCGACATGTTGAAAGTGTTGAACCCCCCTTTTAAGATTAAAGCTATCGATGATCAATCGATTAATTCCGCAAGTAAATTGTTTTGCCCAAACTTTAGCGTGATTATGCCAAATTAGTACATACACACTCGACTGCTGCGCAAATTCAACAATTTGTTTAATCAGAGACAGGGTCTTTGTAATTGAAAAAATCATTCATGTGCAGTCGTTGAAAAGAATGAAAGCAAATTAAAAGAAATTGTAATTGTGAAAAATTGGCAATACTTTTAGAATTCAAAACATGCTTTAATTTTATCCTTTTGCAATTTAAGATACGTTTTCTCCGAGTATAAAAAGATTTTTGTGATTTTGCAGTATAATTAACATACGCTATTTTGATTTTGTTTCACGGGYATAATGACTTTACTCTAACAGCACTATACCAAACGAAACAAAGAAATTAGCATCTTTAAGAAAATATTTTGTATTATTTTTTCGAATTAAGTGTGTATATTTTAATGAATAATTTCATGTACTAAAGATACACATCAAAATTTTTATCACTCCCAATTCATATGCGAGCAACAACATAGGTCGAGCTGTACTTGAATTGAATAAAGAGCTAAATAATATTATTAATATCTAACTATTTACATAGCATATCAATACACAATTATAAATTAGTTGCGAATTAGAGTGAGGTAAAAAAAAACCCATCAAATACATACTAAACTAATACACCTTAGAGTGGTTCTCATTAACCCGTGAAACAAAGTGTAATAGTCAAAGTGTAATAAAGTGTAATAGCCAAGAAATATAATAGCAAACAAAAGAGACAAAGTGTAATACGCTAAAGTGTATTTCACGGGTTAATGAGAACCACTCTAATGGCACTTCATTGAATGATTTTCTTTTGTGTATATTTGACTGTCACTTTAATAGTCAAACTTTGTTTCACAASTTTAATGACTTCACTCAAAAAATGAAAACTACACAAAAAAATACTGGAATTTGTATATTTAACACCTAATTCCAAGAATGTAGTCATATTGAAAATAAATTCACAAAGTTACAGCGACTAGTTTAACTAGTTAAGTGACTTTCTTTTATGGTATAATTTTGACTCCTATAATTTGAAGACTTTCTTTTTCAAAAGTTTATTATATTATATTTTTAAATAATGTTCTTGCAATAAAGGTGAATATGAAGACTAAGAAAGTCACTTATATAAATCTTTCTTTGAATTACATATCAATAATTGACTATTCTTAAGATTCCAGTAAAGTCTGGAATARTCTCATTCCTACAACAAAAAAACAAACAAAACAAAAACAAAAAACAAAAAAAAAACAATAGAATAAACAATCAATTTACACATAGATTTGAGKCTAAGCCAACTTGCACTGGAATTTTCAGGATAGTCAAATAATCGTATACCAGCCAAATGATTATAATATAATTTAATAACAATAGTTTGACAACAGATCACAAAAAATGTTCATTTCAAGTCACATTTTGTTTAAGAAAATTCAAATTGCATTGTCTAGTTTGAACCTAAACAACTAAGTATCGAAACTAAGTATGACACAAATAATCATTTATGTAACAAGTACATGTTTTACAAAAACTTTAYTACACAAAGGGTCATCAAATGTACACTAAATTTCATTTTGATCATGAACAAATAAGCTTATATCTACATATTGTGATTTATGAATGCAAGTTGAGGCTAAAACATTATACAAAATGTGGACAAGACTAGCACTTGCTAGAGGACAAACACTAAAAAAATTGTAGCTATACCAAACATACATGTAGATTAATAACAAAGGAAATAAAATAGGTCAGCACCAGTTGGCACTATTTAATTAGTTAAATTAATTTAGTTTTCATGGGTATAAAGTTTGCAGATCCAGAGAGCGTAATTAGGCAAAGATTGTGATTGGATGGAATAACAAAGAGGGACAATACAAACAACGAAGATGTCCAGTAGAACAATAGGCATTGTCTGACATAATCCACCAATTCTTTGTTTTTGTTGTCTCAATCAATCACAAGCTTTGTTCTGACGGTAGTGGTCAACCTGGTAATTAGAGTGGCTATCCACTAAGGCTCACAAAATATAAAAACAGAAATTATGAATGAATAAATAAGAAATGAAATCTGAATGGGATTCATCCTGATGGAAACAACAAAAGCAGCGTATATCAAAAAGGAAGTTTATCTGCCACCCTTACTGCTATAGTTTTATTTTTTCTACAGTAAACCGACTGTCCAGTTAACCACTTCCATTTGTATAGTTTTGGATCTGCAACTGATTCTATAGTCTAGGCAATAATAAAAAAGTTATTTTGACCTCTTGGAAAACTTGTTATGAGACCAAAGTTGTAGTCTATCAGTTCCTTTGCATACAAATGAAATGAAAAAATACACCACCAACATCACATAAAAATAATACCTCACTAGTAATGAATAATAAATCCCTAATAGTGCGAGAATTATAAAMAACACCCAAAAAACAAGGGCCAATTTTAGTTGCATTCTAGCAGTTCCATCATTTTGAGCTAATTCTTCTCTGGGACAAAATCCATTTCCTTTTGTATAAAATTCCTTTAACCTTTCTTCCTTTTCTTCCCATTTTTTCGTGCACCACGTTCCCAATCTGTCTTCATCTTTAGGGAGAGTTTCAATTGGGTGTCTTTGTATGTGGAAATGCATATGACGAGGAAAATATCCAAAAAAYAAGTCTTTTTCCCAATAGCAGTGATTAATGTCGTAGCCAACAGTAACATCATGAATAGCATTGAGTCTTCCTTGTCTAAGGTTTTGAACGCAGAAGGTGAAGCCTCGAATGCGAGGGTGAAGAACATATTCATATGGCGGCAAATTGTTTTTCTTTGCAAAGTTGTCACTTTTAGTTTTAGTTACTTTATCCAAGTTTGTTCCCTCTGGGAATATAAGAAGCTGTAGTGGATAAGACACTTCATTGAAATAGTCCAATATGGCCTTCATGTAGCCTTCATCATGCTCCCATCTTCTTTTTAGGAATATGAACATGGCATTTTGCATAGCCCAACCTGAAAATAACAAATTTTATTATTTATTTTTAAGCAATTAGACCGCAACATCAAGATTTTGGGACCTGGTCTCAAGATTTCAATGTAAAACCTCCTGTTATTTTCGAGAAAATGGCAAAAATCTCATGCTTTTAAGTATATTTATCATAATATGGGACGGGACTTGTGCATGAAATACCAAAGTGCAATACACATGGTCTGGAACGGATATTTTTTGAGGGGGCTGGGTGGGGTCAGCATTGGAAAAACATAAACAAAATGCAGGATTCATCAATCTCAAAAGATGAAATTACCTAGGGTTGACATGCCTGGAAACAAAAAGTCACAGTTCTATAATAATAATCAATGTTCTTACTAAAATGAGTATTCTGCATTTTCTAACAATAACATTTAATACCTGCGCCTGGAATATTCTTTAAATCATCTTTGAGTATAATTTTTTCATGTTTTAAATGACCATAGCGATGCAAAAAACACCAGTAAAACATCCAGTCAAGGCGTGAGCGATGGTTCATTATTATCAGAGCTGTATCATCAGCTGGTGGCTTGTCTCCGGTAACAACAATTTTMACTCCAAACAGCAATTCTAGAATAGCATGATTAATATTTTTCAATTCTGGCATMTTATGAAACATTTTGGGAAGTTTAAATGATGATAACTTAGTCTTTAAGYAAAGAAATGCTCATTCTGAACTCCTTCTTTCATCTCAATACAGGAAAATAACTTCTTCTAATGATATTCTTGCAATTTAGCCTTACATCATACCGAGATTAACAAAAATGAAAGCCTTGCTCAGCCCTGTACCATCATGAAACAAATCCATGTCTTGCATAGAAACGAGACAAACATTGAGCAAGCATTGATAGATACCTGTGAATAATAATTGTCTATCTCWGTGTAAAAGAAGATTTCTATCAGTGCACGCTCAGCAGTTGTCTTGCTTTGATGCAAAGGCATGGTTACCTCTTGAGATGGCGCAGGGAACCGTGAACGAGACTATTTTTTCAAACTTGACAAATTGTTAAGCTTGTAAACAATATAAGCTTCAAGAGTAAACTTTACAACAATATCATACAACTGTGAAAATCTATCAAGTCGTGACTCTTTTTAAGAGATTTAACTCTTCCATCCCAATCATATGTATTCAACTTTCGGTATAAGTTAATAGCATCTACTTGATTATTAAACGTCCCTGAACATCGAGCACAAACAATAAGATTACAAGATAGTTTACATTTCAGCTTCATTGACCACGATTTTCGCTGTTTGGACAGTTAATATAAGATGTAAAGCTTGGTTCATTAATCGCAATATTAACAATTTGCAGCTTAAAAAATAAAAGAAATGATAAATGGTAGATTTAGAATTCAAGCAATTTAAGGAAACTGCTGTGCACACTTACCTAAGAGAGCCTTCGACGACAATGCAATAACAGCACGTTCGATCGGAAATCAAGAGAAAAAGCTTGTAAGAATAATTGAACAACTATTTCGAGCTAACATAGTAAATTGTAAAGATATAAAAGAAATGAAATCAAGCTTACGGGTGGAAGTACAAGCCACAATCCGATTGCACGATCGTTGATCCACCGAAACCATGACGGCCGCCAAAGTAAGAGAGGAAGTGAAGGCCCCATGATAAAAATGGCTCCTAAAAATGAACTAAAGTACATAATAACACTGAAGATAAGCCCTCCGAGTGGATTCCGAAGCATTTTGCTTGAAATAGCTCCACAAAAGCAAAGAAGAAATCTGATTGTGGTCCACCTCCTTTAAAGACTTTGGTCGATTTTCGCGGTCTTAACACAACCTGCAAAGKATGCCGGGTAACATGTGATTTCTACATCGCGTGACCAAATGTAATGTTATGTAAAGGAAAGAAATTCATTAAAAGTTTATGTATCAAACGTTTTACGAAGAAATGGATAGTTCAATAATATCATATCGTTTGGCAACCCCGCTGGAAACTCCCTTCTTAGCTCTATATACTTTTTATCTATATTTTTAAATCTCTGTATTCATTTATATTTTATCTCAACAATATCGAAACAATAGAAAAATGAATTTGAAAAAATTCAATCTTTTGGCCCTATCGTCGCGCGCATGTGTTCTTTCATTGATTTATATCCGAATCGCGAATTTTTTAAATACAGTAAATATTAATGTAAATACAGTAGTACTTAACCTGCTTATAATTAAGAACCCATTTTTTTCAAATTTAGCCTAAAAGGGTTCTTAATGTAAATGGTGCTGAGTGGAATTTTAGGCTACGCAGGTTCTTAAATATGGGTTCTTATTTATCCCTTATGTAATGAAAATTTACAAGATTTTCAATCCCAAMATTATTTATACCAAATTTAGAAGTGTATACATGTTCAAGTTCACTACAGTTTGAGTATGTTTTTTAAATTGAAGATTTTTGAGGTTAATTTCTAAAAGAAGCTTTCTATAAGAACCTGTTTCAAATTTTAGGCTAAATAGCTAGGTTATTATGTAAATGGGGTCTAAATTGAGGTTTTTAGCCTAACAGGTTCTTAAATTGCAGGTCAGTCTTATAAGTGGGTAAGCTAGTACTGTATTCATAATATTAGCCCATAATTGTGAATTTGAGGAAGTTGCTGTTGCTGAATGTTATAATTGATAAATGTTTATCAATTTTAATTCGATTTTATTTTGCAATCCCAGTGCTAAAACACTAATCCCAGGGATAAATGTTCAATCTCTCGTGTACCAAGTTCAATGCAAATGAGATGACAATGAGCAGAAATAAAAAAACTGCAGTAATTTGAACTGAATTAGGTACATGTGAGGTTCGACGTTTGAACCAGGTCTAAAAAGCCATTTTAAACGCCATTTACACTGAATCTTTACAGTTGTATGCTAACCGCGCCTGCAATTGCGTCTTTTAAAAATCTACTGTCCAACAGTTTTTTTGGTCTTTTAACCATATAACTATGTTTTAACTGACGTGCTCACTGTTTGAGTAGTCAAGCTCCGGTGCACATGTCACGTTTCACGAGCACCCTGGCTATCCTCACGAGCATTGAACAGTGTTGACCAGACATGGCGATAGATATGGATACAGAACTGCTCAGCTGCAAGTATTATTTACCAATATACATAAAATGATTGCACAAATCAGTTTATTGGTGGTGTTAGCATTATAAATGCAATTCAAACGCAATGGCATTCGATACAAGAGACCAAAAGTTAATGCCTAACTAACATTAGTAGTTAACTGACTTTTGGTCAAAAATACAGGAGTTAATTGACTTTTGACCCAAAAATTTGTAGCTAACTGACTTTTGGGCACCCCACCAGAGAGCTTATTGTCAATTGTGCTCTTGTAAGTAAATAGATTCACGCTGACCTCCTAGACCGCGTTCTCTCATGGTAAAACGAGAATGCTGAGTTTAAATTGGTGTTATGATTTGATTCATGGACTGCATTGGAAAGGAGAAATTCGTAAGTAAATATCATCATTGCACGTAGGTTCTCATGCTTCTCWTATGAGATGAGTAAAGCTCAGTCATTCGTGCATATAACATCAATTCAGAAAAGAAATGCATATACATTAGTACATAGTGAACTATGATATGTGTTAAGGCCGATTACACGGAACGATTGCCGCGTACGACTTGTAGTATACGACTCAAACGAGTTCCAAATCGCGCCGTGTAAATGCCCCTACGACTTRCCGTAGGATTTTGAACTACGGCTTAAAATCTTACGACTTGTCGTAGGAAAATCGTATACCGACTACAAGTCGCACGCGACAGTCGTACCTTGTAGATCTGACTTTAGAAATTTTCTATGAAAATTATAAATGTTTCCAACCGTTTATCCTCGGAATACAACTACTTGATTATTCATAAATTTGATAAGTATATTGATTGATCCCGTTATAAACTGAACTGTTATAAACTTGCCGATTATAATTCATAAGTCACGAAAYGTTATAGTATAAAAATGTGGCCTACGGAAAGTAAAATGTTTCCCTCGTGCTTATAAGCCGCCACTTTTGGATATTTAARACGGCGACGTCAAACTCCAAAGTTCGCGTAAATTATACTGCGTA